GAGAGAGAGAGAGAGAGAGAGAGAGAGAGAGAGAGAGAGAGAGAGAGAGAGAGAGAGGCTGAGATGCAGGAGGCAAATATAAATATACTGCTAACGATATCCTTCGGCATTCATCAGTAACACGCAGAAACATCTCCACCGCCGAAGAGGTCAAATGACGACCTATATATTACATAATATATAACATCATGGTACTTGCTTTCCACATCGGTCGCACAAAAACAGAAGCAGAATGACAAGGCATCATTACCAGCTATGCATAGTGCGATTATTACTAGCAAGAAACAGTTGATATGTATCGTGGACAGTATCATCATATATATATATATTATATATATATAATATGTATATATATTGTATGATGTACTACAGTACATGCTGCTCCTTAATTGTTATCATCATTAGCTGCAAGAGCAGCAACCAGTACCATAGCATTGGCAGCAGATGTAATAACAAGAACAATAAAAGCAACAGTAGAACGTAGTAACAATAACTGCAGCAGCAGAAATAACAATAACAGCAGCAGCAGAAACAACAACAACAACAACAACAACAGCAACAACAACAACAGCAACAACAACAACAACAACAACAACACTGCAGTACCACTGCAGCAGCAGCAACAACAACGACAACAACAAAAATATTATCACCATCGTCATCGTCACCAGCGAACGCAGTAGTATAGGAGCATATTCCGATATTAATCAATGCATGCTGCCACTGACGCTGAGAGGGTCTATGTCCCCCGGGGTACTGCCGGAACGTACCCTGGTACTATCTAATATGCCGGAACGTACCCTGGTACTATCTAATATGCCGGAACGTACCCTGGTACTATCTAATATGCCGGACCGTACCTCGCCTACTCCACTAACGAGTCTAGGGAGTCGCCTACGCCTACTCCCTAACACTAACCCTAATCCTAAGCCTAACCATATCAAATAGTGACCAGGGTACGTTTCGATATACCGGACCGTACCCAGGGTACGTTCGGCAGTACCCTGGGGGACATAGACCCTATGAGCGCCACTGACTGCCTGAGAAATCACTGGCACTGCTATTGTATGTATCATATGGTGATGGCACGGCCATGTCTGGCGACTACGACCGCTACCGCTTCTGCTACTGTTACCACTCCTGCTGCTACCGCTAGTACCACAGCTGACGCTCTGCTACTGGTATTACCGGAGTATTGCGGACGATATACTGATATTGCTATGTTAGTGACTGTTATCGTAGCTGATCTAGCTAATGTAGAACTGCAGCGAACGTGCCCGGCATGTCAGAGGGGTGACCCTCAAAACTGATCATCTGGTGCTAAACAGCCCAGTGACGAGGCTACCGGGAGGATATGTCACCATACATGAATGCGGCGAACTCTTTTGCAATTGGATTGGCCGTGCAGCTGTGGAGGTGTGATGTTTACGTCATACGATACTACTACTACTATCAGGGGGGTTAATAATTACAAATTTGTTACATTTACTACATCATAGCCGGTGTTATTGCTCATATACTACGAGAATTATTGCTTCTGGTGGTTTTGCTGCGGCTGCCATTGTTGTTGTTGTTGTGGCTGTTGTTGTTGATGATGATGTTGTTGTTGTTGTTGTTGATGATGATGTTGTTGTTGTTGTTGTTGTTGTTGTTGTTGATATAGCTAATTCTCTTGGTTACGTTGGTGGTGTTACTGATTTTATTGGTACTTATCATAGTGTTGCTAGTGGCATACTCTTAACATCACGGACATTTGCTATTTATCATGTCTTGTCAGGTGTATCACCTACAGTTATCATTTTCCTACAAAAATTACATCAAGCACATGTGGTAGAGGCCAGCAATGAAACAGACTTATTCATCACATCTTATTCCCCCTCCCATTATAGTATTCAATTGTAGTAGGATTCTAACGATTATCATGGAGTAGCAATGTACAGACTTGTTGTACAGCCTGTTAACATTCCTCAAACGCGTCGTCAGTCGCGTTTAAACTGTGCGTAGGAGGATAACAAACGTACGAATAATATTTCTGAACTAAAAATCAATGTACTAAACTGTCCTGCGTAATTTCCACCGCCGACTGCACTGGGGGGGGGGGACAGTGGAGCGTGTGTGTGTATATAAAAGCGTGATTCGAATACCTCAGTAACTACACAGTAAGTTCTGATCCGACCACCGCATACAGTATAGGCTTATCCGTTTATAAAGGCCTGCCACGATTTTCCATACATGTAATATGTATGCATGCATTGTGCATATTTAACTCAGAGTTGAGAATGCCCGTGCCATAGAAACCAAGGCGCATCACTTGCCTTGCATGGCGATGCCACGATTATTGTATGCAACCATCGCACAGCAGGCAATACATGGCCACCGGAGTGCCAACATCAACAACCCCAGAGTGTGTATCAACTTGCATCTGACCAGTGCAATCATCACACATGGCCGAAACATAAATACCAAGGGACGGGATGTTTTGGCTGATTTGCGGACTCCCCCAGCGCCCACAGCGCCGAAACTGTATATGTTATCATTGCTAGCGAGGTAGACTGGACCTGACCTGCGTCCTCCTCAGTGCAATCCACGTGCGCGCGCGTACGCCTCTCTCTCTCTCTCTCTCTCTCTCTCTCTCTCTCTCTGTGTCTCTCTCTCTCTCTCTCTCTCTCTCTCTCTGTGTGTGTGTGCGTGCGTGCGTGCGTGCGTGCGTGCGTGCGTGTGTGTGTGTGTGTGTGTGTGTG